CGTATTATCTTTCCCTCATTATCTGTAATTTGTATATATTCTGGATATAAATCTTTTGTCGATTGCAGAATATTTTCTCCCACTCTGCAACTTGTCTTTTCCCTAAGTGTCTTTTGATTAAATGGTAGGTTTTCCCTTTAATGTAGCTGAATTTATCAATCTTATGAGGTAAGGTCATGAGATATTCTCCTATGTTGTTTCCAAAGATTTGTAGCTCTTTCATATTTGTATTTAATACGCAATTTATTTTTGTGTATGATTTGCATAGGATCTAATCTTTCCTATATAGCAAATCTGCCCCAGCAATATTATGAAAAAGTTCTTCTTTTTCACACAGAGACCAAGTATACATATACACTGGTCTGTTTCTAGACTTTGTATTATGTTCTACAGGTTTCTTTGGTTATCTCTGGGCAAATATCACTCTGCTTTATTTATCATAGCTTTATAACCAGTCCTGAAACCTGGCAGAGCCTGTCTTCCCACCTTGTTACTCTCTTCAAGAGTTTCTCGGCTTTTTCTTTGTGGGGGAAGAAGAAGGGGGAGCTCTCTGTACTTCCATACAAAATTCAAAATCAGTTTGTACTTTAGTTGCCCCCACTGCAAGCTGAGATCACTCCACTACGGCAGTCATCACATTACTGGTCCACACCTATTCATCCTGTGTCCAGGCTACACAGTGTGTTATTTGTTGTCTAAACCTCAGATCATTAACAGTGCGAAGCACTTAGTAAATACACAACATGTGTTCCAGGAATGAATATATTGTACAAAAGTAAATAAATAAATAAATTTATAAAATGGGAGGGAAACCATTAAGATCTTAAGATTGCATTGGACTTATAAATCAGTTTGGGAAGAAATGATATCATTAAATATCGAGTCTTCCCTATCCACGAATTATTTGTTTCAGCCTTCCATACTGTTTCTCAATTATGTTTTATAATTTTTTCAATAGCAATCTTATACATCTTTTGTTAAGATTTCTAAATATAGCTGATTCTTGTTAATTGCAGATTTTGTATTTGCAAATTCACCCATGAGTTAAAATTTATTTGTAACCCTAAAATTTGGTTCTCAGATGTATTTTGATTGGCTAGTAATAAATTTTTTAGAATATGAGTCAGTTTCACACATTTAAAATTTGGGAAACTTCATATAGGAATCTAGATTTTGACCTAGCTTAAAAATGACAAAGTTGGTGTGGAATTTCCTCTGGTGTTTGCCTTCATCCCTCCTCTCCTGTGCAGAGGCTGTGGAGCAGCGGTGAAAGTTCTTAGGATGTCCTGTGCTGTTTGAATTGACTGTTCTGTGAAGAGAGGACACGACTAGGTCTGACCTCCACACTGTGCTCTCTGGTGAGATCTCAGGAATGTCTATTTACCCAGTGACCAAACCAAACTGTTAGCTCAATTGTACTCATCTACTGACGATACTAAAGTTGATGTTAATAAAGCAATGAAGAATCGGAAAAAAAAAAAAAAAATGACAAAGTTTTTTGGAAAGTCTGACAACATATGTTAACACTGAAGTTCTGTTTCTTTACGGCCATATGCTAGAGCTGAGTGGCTGCTGTCCCTTTCAGATGGATTTTTCCTTACAATCAACTCACTTCACTCACCTACGTTACCTGCCTGGAGTCTAAACATTTGCCTCTCCTAAATTAAAGCAATTAAAATGATAGCCTTAAATTAAGAGAAATGAATTTGCCAAAGGGCAGAAATGAGTCTAAAGTGTAACTGTGAACAGAAATTTAAAAGGGGGTAATGGTGGTTAGGATGTGGTTGTTTCTGGAATACTAAAGCTCATATCCTAAAGTCCTCTTATTTATCATATACTTTACCTCAAATGGTAAAGAACCTGCCTGCAATGCAGGAGACTTGGGTTTGACCCCTGGATCTGGAAGATCCCCTGGAGAAGGGAATGGCTACCAACTCCAGTATTCGTGTCTGGAGAATTTCATGGACAGAGGGCCTGGCAGGCCACAGTCCACTGGGGTGCAAAGAGTTGTACAAGACTGTATGACTAACACCATATTACAATTTATTTCTTTATAAGTGAGAATATATTCTGTTTCACTCATAACAGTCTTCTACTCCTGATTCTATTACTGTTTTGTATACAAAGAAATGACAGGAGCTCTGACTTCAATGTTCTTATAAACAATCATCCTGGATATTTTATCCTTCTACATTAAATACTGTTGAGATTCTGACTGAGACTACAATGAATTTTTAGTCTACATTTTGGGAAAGAATAACAATACCAGATCTTTCCCTTCAAAATTATATATCTATCACTTCATTTACACATATTTTCTTTAAATATCCTTTAGTAAAGTTCAAAAATTCTTCTCTGTAAAAGCTTTACATACTTATGTTATTTTTGGGTAAGGTTTCCTTTACTTGGGGGACAGGAGGCATTACTTTTTGTTGCAAAAAAAATCTTTTCTCCTAATTACATTAAAAAAAAATTCACAATTTAACCATTTGTTTCCAACTTCAATAAATTCTGCAATGTACATCCTTTGAAGACAATCTTTGCATTTGGGATTTTTTTCTTCAAGGTAGATCTCTATTAGTGACATTCCTGGATCAAAGAGGATGGAGAGTTTAAAGGTTCTCAATCCCTCGAGAATTTCTAGAGGACAGATCATTTAAAGCCTTTCAACAAATTCTGCCAAATCACTTTCAAGAAAGGTTCTAATTCATACTCTCACCAGCAGTACAGAAATGCCTGGCTTCCATTAGTAAAAAGAACTCTGCTCTTTTGATTAGTGTGAAAAGTTGCATTTAAAGTTCTATTTCTTTGTATAGTTGAGTTGAAGATTCTTTCTTTTCTTAATTTATATGTCTTCTGCCTGTCCCCATTCTTTGCTCATTTCTCTATCAGGATGTTAAGTGTTTTGTCCTTGGAATGTTTAGTTTTTACAATACAAAAATACTTCAAACAAACAAACAGCTGGTTGCTAGTCCATGGCTACTCAACACTGGCAGAGGCCCACAAAGGTGCACTGGGCCTACCAACAAACTTACAGGGAGAAGTCGGCCTTTATGCTTCATGGCAGAAGCAAGCCTCCCATAAATCCCCTAATTACATTTTTAATTGGTTACTATTAACATACATAGGAAATCTACCGCTTTTCTATGTTGAACTTGAATCTGGCTATTTAACTGAACTCTCTTCATTGATTATATGTAGGCCAAGAGTCTGCAAACCACAAACCTCAGGCCAAATCTGGTCTGCTGCCTGTTTTGTAAATAAAGTTTTACTGGAACACAGCCATAACCATTTGCTTACGTATTGTCTATGGCAGGTTTCATGATAGAACAGTAGAATTGAGTAGTGGCAACAGAGATCCTATGGCCTGCAAAGACTAAAATACTATCTGGTCTTTTACAGAAAAAGGTTGCCCATCCCTGATATAGGTAATCTTATTACCTGCCAATAATGACAATTCTATCTCTTCTAAACGCATTCTTCTTCTTACTTATTTAGAAATAAAAGCTGTCCTGAAATGCTTTTAGTGTTTCACCATTAAGTGATTTTATTACAGGTTTCTGAAGATAACCTCCATTGAGTTGAAAACATTTTTGGAGCTTAAAATTTTATTTTAAAGGACTGTACTTTATTCTGAGATTATCCCATTCCTACATTTTTCTGTAAAATAGTAACACAAAGTAGTTGTTCTTAAAAACATCTTTACATGGTAAAACAAAAGCTGGCAACCCTATAGTAATCCATGAACTAGGTCATGAAACCTAAATCTAAGAAACACCAGGTTAAGTTTTCCAGACTACAATGATGTTTAGAGCAGAAACCGTAAATGGAGCTCATTTAGCACACTGCTTTTCTTACTCAAAATTATACTGAATTTATAAATGTAAAGAGGCGGCACAGAAGGTAAGCTCTGGGGTCCAGACAGGCTTGGGGAGGAATTCTGCCAAATACCACTACCCCCTCCCCGCCCCCCACAGCTGTGAGAGCTTAGGCAAGCTACGTAATCTTTCTAAGTCAGTTTCCTTCTCCTTAAAATGGGGACAATAGTAGCAGCCACTTTAAATGTTGTTCTCAGGATTAAACAACCTGAAGTACACAAAGCACTATGTATAAGTATCTGGTCAATTATGAATGTTCAATAAATGTAGGTGCTATTACTGTTATTACTTTATGCTCTTCTGGCATGTGTATAAATCTTTATTACTTAGTACCTCAAAGTAAGACCACATCTTAATCTTTTGTGATACCAAAGTAGACCATCTCAGGTTTACGATCCAGTTGCAGGGACAAGGATCATTCCGTTGTGACTGGGTTAATACTAAGAAATGGATCAATAAAACAGAATATTCATATATTCATACAATCATAACAAGTATATAATTTGAGGAAGTATCTGGCTATTTCATTTTTCCACATAACTGTTTATCCTTCAATTGTGTATCTATGTGTGTGCTTCTTGCACCAAGCAAACGACTTACAAATATGCAAGAAACACAGGAAAACACTATTAATACAGGACAAATAAGATCAAATACCAGTGTTCCAGCACTTTGGAAAATGCTGGATACAATTTTGCTAAGAATGGAGTCAATTAATATGGAGTTAGGAGTAAATATTTTCATTTTTCCTAATTACACAGATTTCATGAAGGGGGCAAGATTTCAGAAAGACTGTAAGAAAAATGGAAATATGCAAAAATCACAAAACAGAAGAAACAGAAAGAAGTACAGTCAGAGAGTATGACCAGGATATACATTCTCCTGGTCAAATAAGGAGAAAACAAGCAGAGCACAGCAGACAAGTTTTCAAAAAGGGAAGAAAAAGTCTTTAAAAGAAAAATATGTGTATTACCAAAAAAGTTATAATGAACAATACAGACAAAATACCCTTGGATCTTCAAGCATGTGCAACTTTTATAATTCTTACTAATGGGTAGGATGGGAAATTAAAATTCTAAATTTTTTAAGCTTAGATCCAAAGAAGAGTGAGAATTTACTTACTTCACTAGAGCAGCTGCTTCAGGAAGTACGTCAGCAAATGATTCACGGAATATGATTGCGTTTTTCCTTTTACAGTTCTGTATGACATCATTGGCAAGGTAAAAGAGATTCAAACGGTGGGGATAGGCAGCTGGAGATGAGAAAAGACAATAAATAAAACCAAATGAGTCAAGTTATACTTAGTGAAACTTACTCCAAATACAGACAAACGAACTAATGGATCAATTTACTGCTCCCTGCTTAGAGGGTAAAGCGTCTGCCTGTAACGCAGCAAATCCCTGGGTTGGGAAGATCCCCTGGAGAAGGAAATGGCAACCCACTCCAGTACTCTTGCCTGGAAAATCCCACGGACAGAGGAGCCTTGTAGGCTACAGTCCATGGGGTCACAAAGAGTTGGACACGACTGAGCGACGACAATGCCTAAAAACCTTGACTGCTTCAGGTTAAGTTTCTGTTCAAAGTGTTCCTTTGAGCAGATTTCCACTTTACTTTGCATTATGTTTGGCACTAAAAAACACATTAACTTTGGAGAAGCTAAAATAAAACAAAACTGTTCTCCCAAACATCTGGGAAGATTAAAAATTGAGTTGAAGTAGTTCAATCTGTTGCAAAAACACCAGGGTTAGTGGAAGGAGTGTGAACCCAACCAGAACGTGACTGTAGACAAACGGCTTAGCCTCCTTTCCAGTATTATTGGAGACAGACCCTTTCCACCTTCCCATCTGCGGGAAGAGAGGCTCTGCTGCCCCTTTCACCACCCGGTGAGTGTCCTGGGAAACGAGGAATTTGAGCCCACAAACAGACCTCAGTCAATCTTTTTTTAAAGGTCCAAGGCAAGGCCTAATTTATTTACTATCTAGAACCTTGAGCCAAGCAAACCCAAGTTTTATTATTATCCTGAACAATCTTAATGTCCACATGGATGATTCATCACATTTTCTAGTCTCAACCTCAAATTCAGTGACCTCCAAGAACAACTTCTTCCTACACTTTCAAATCACCCTTTCTGACCACAACCACCCACTTTGTTGTATCTGTCCTTCAATTTCATCAAGTCTCATCTCTTTATTTTCGCTTAACTCATGTACAGTCTCTTCTAGTACTCAATTCCTCCTCTACCAATTCCACAGTCTTTTTGATCCATTATCTAAACCATTCATATTAAAACCTTCATATGCTTTTCATTCTCCCTACAGTTTATAGCCTATCACATGTATTCAAAAAAATCCTAAATCTGGATCAATCCAACTGAATGCCTTTATTGCACCTATATTTCTGTCCCTGGGTTCTGCTGAAAAAAATCACACCAACAGTATTGAAACGATTCAGTCTCCTCCTCACTGGGCCTTCCTTCCACGTGTCTTTAATTAGCATCTTCTCTAATTTGCTGTTAGACCTATTTCAAACTTTTACCACTTTCGTGATGCACCCTTACCACATTCTTTCTCACTCTTAGGAGATAAGCTTAATATCCTATTTCACAGAGAAGCAGAAATCATTAGATGGAACGTATTTTCTCTCAAAAAATGTATCCATGGGGATTTCCCTTGTGGTCCAGTGGCTGGGAGTCTACATTTTCAACACAGGGGGCACAGGTTTGATCCCTGGTCAGGGAACTACAAGTCCATATGCCATGGGGCTCCGACAAAAAAAAAAATGTACCCATATTTAAACCAATCCAAATCAACTTACCTGAGTCGGTTAAGATCTTTCAGATTTAGAGATCTGAAAGAGTATTATATAGTCACTGTCTCCACTTTCATTTCTAGTAATTCCATAATTACAGAATTACTATACTTTTCTGTACTTAAAAAATATGTAATCCACTATATGAGGAGCTTTATATAAAATATGCTATCTCATTTAAGCTACCATCACTCCACTCAAACGGCAGTTACTAAGGTTACCAATAAATTCCAACTTACTAAACCCAAAGGCGAGTTTTTTTTCCCACCTCCAAAAAAAGCTTATTAGCATGATTAAAAACATTTTCTTGAATAATGACAATTTCTAAACCTGAAAGAGGATCAATGGCTATACTTTATAACCAGTATTTTCAACTGGAAAGACAGATTTATTGCCCAGTCTTCATTTTATTACAAACAACCCACATTTACTAGTTTCCCGTGAAGTCACGACTATTGCTTTGGGAATGAGTCCCTACTGCAATTAAGTATAAAAAATATCTTCCATAATCAGACTGTGACCTACATAATTGAGTAAAGAGTTGATAAAATCCTCAAAGAGTTGGGTTTTTTGTTTTTTAAAAAAACATTCCTTTTACACACTACAAGGCAATAATTAGATTTTGGCTTCTAAAAATCCTACATGATATTCAGAATGGCAGTCCCTGAAGGTCCTCTTTTCATATAACTGAACACTCAGACCCTCTTCTGGAGTGTACATTCTTGGGATGGACTCGGAAGACCTCAACATCCACATGTTTACATGGGTTTGAGAACAAAGACAGCATCATTTGGAACACAGTAGTCATTATACATGTCGCCTTCACACGGGTATGGCAGTCTGGTGAAAGCTTCAATAACAAAACCAGCTTTTCTGAAAACTTCAGGCAGACTATTCACTTGTTTTTCCCAATTCTGTCCCTTGATTTTCAAAATTTCCAATCGTTTATCCCATTTGCCACCTACGTTATCCATATAGAGATGAAAAGGTAAGACCAAAGAAAGGATGACCGGTTGCCTCTGGTTGGCTGCAAGACACTTCTGATATCTTTTTAACAAAGTCAGAGGCTGATCACAACAGTCCAGCAAATTCAAGTAGCTGATGACATCATACTAGAACCCTGTCTTCTGCCATTCATTTATACCAAGCACTCTGTATTTCTTCTTCTGTAGCTGCCATGTCATAGTTTCAGACAGCTCAGTGGCATAAATTTCTTCAAAATGAGGGCTCATGATTTTTGTGACCTCTCCATCTCCAGCACCTAAATCAAGAAGTCTATGGGTTTTCCAGTCCAGGTAATATTAAGCAGTCTCTGAAACTGATCTGGTGAAAACACAAACATTGAGCCTCTTCTTAGCAACCCATTGATAGACGGTCTAGACATAATCAGGCTGAAAACAGGTGAAGGAGAGATGTAATTGGATAAATAGCCAGCCCGATTTCTCAATGCTATTGTTTTAGATCTGTGTTCTTTGATCAAGGTAACTCTGAACAAAGACAGCCTGGAGTGACTTGCATAACCTCTCTGTTGCACACATACCACTGGTGGTTCTTCTTCCTTCCGCTCGCAGGCGTCTCGGCCACTCATCAAGTTGTTCACTTACAGGGAGCGGGTCAGCGGGTTCCACAGGGTCCACATCCTTCGCACCAGCTACACGGACGCCAGCCTTAGGCACAGTCAGCCCGCGAGCAGCTTCATCCAGGGCCATGGCCCCTTGCTCCAATCACCGCCGGGCGAGGAGGACTCGCCGCCGCCTCCAGCTCATGCCGCCACGGCCGCCCAGGCTCAAGCCATCGCACCCAACTCGCCCATCCAGCCCCTTCAGGGCCGAGGCAGGGGGTCAAGGCGAGTTTTTTCTAAATGCTATTTCTACAGAGAGGTATCATTTCCACCAAACTTTTGGCACACAGAATAATCTAATAAACCCTCTTCTGGTCTGTCTTAATCACTCTCTTAGTTCTCCTCTGACGTCTCTAGCTACTCCTCCACATATATACATAGGCAGGCATGTATAGTTACAGGCAGCTCTACCTGTAATCCTCTTCCTTTAAATGCTGATGCTTCCCAAGGTTCTCTCCTGAGCACTCTTCTTGATTCGTCGGTAGCATAGTGTTTTCAGATTTCAGGTTTGATACCAGTCTGTTCCAGTCCTGGCTTTGTCACTTAACAGCTTTAGGGCTTATACATTACCTAACTCTTCTGTATGTTACCTTTTTTCCTTTGAGAAATGACAACTTCATGAGTTGTTAAAAGAATTAAATAATAAGACAATGTATGTAAACCATTTAGAATAGCACTCAGTCAACAGAAAATGGAATGCTATCAGCAGAACTATCCACATTTAACTACTACCACCTGAGTATCAATGACTTCAGCATCCATAGATTTCACGTCTGGATTTCTCTTTACCAGTCAACACATACATCTACTTCAACATCTCAGAGGCACCCTGAACCTGATTTCTCAATATCTTATTAATAATCTTCCTCCTCCTCCATCTGTTACTGCTCTTATATTTAGCTAGAATTTCAGCAGTCTTTTCTGGCTCTTCTTTCTCCCTACCTAATCCTTGCAGATTTTGATAAATCTGCGAGTCCAACCAATTTTGTCTCCAATATATGCCAAATTTATTTCTTCTTTTCCTTTTCTTCCTACCACTGTTCTTTGCTGGGTTATCACTTTTGACCTGGACAACTACTGCAATAATCTCTTAACTGTTTATCTTGCCTGGGACCTGATCTTCTCAAATTTATTCTATACATTGTTGGCCAAATTCATCTTCTAATATGTAAACATTATCCAATTATTTCTCATATGAAATCTGTCAATGATTTCCAACTGCTTATTAGAAAATGTCCAAACACCTTCAGTTCAGTTGCTCAGTTGTGTCTGACTCTTTTCGATCCCATGGATTGCAGCATGCCAGGCTTCCCTGTCCATCACCCAATTGCTGGAGCTTACTCAAACTCATGTCCATCAAGGTGGTGATGCCATCCAACCATCTCATCTTCTGTCGTCCCCTTCCCCTCCCACCTTCAATCTTTCCCAGTATCAGGGTCTTTTCCAATGAGTCAGTTCTTTGCAACAGGTGACCAAAGTATTAGTTTCAGCTTCAGCATCAGTCCTTCCAATGAATATTCAGGACTGATTTCCTTTAGGATGTATTAAAGGAACCTTTAGATTGGATCTCCTTGCAGTCCAAGGGATACTCAAGAGTCTTCTCCAACACCACAGTTCAAAAGCATCAATTCTTCGGTGCTCAGCTTTCTTTACAGTCCAACTCTCACCTCATTACATGACTACTGGAAAAACCATAGATGACTAGATGGACCTTTGTTGGCAAAATAATGTCTCTGCTTTTTAATATGCTCTCTAAGTCAAACACCTTAGTTTTCACTCATTTTCCGGATTTTTACCTTCTCTTCCAGTCTCATCTCTTCCCC